GCCCATGGGAAAGTGATCATAGGGCGTGGGGCTTCAGGTCACCCCACATGGCAAATGGCTGAGGGAAGATGGGGTGGGTGGCACATGGGGAGAGTTTACCCATATTTGCAGGTTGGTTGTATGAAAAGGTATTAAACTTATTTCAGCCTGTGGAGAGGAGGTTGAGGATTGGTGAGCGTGTATCAGACACATTTTGACTCAAGATGAAAAAGAACTGTCACTGTAAAGGAAGTTTTGTTGGAAAATTGCAGGTTTACTGGAAGAATTCAAGCCAGGGCTAGGTGTCTGAAAATACCTGGTAGAGTGATTTCTAAGGTTACAAGGGCAGAGCTGGGCTTGGAATGTGGTTTCCCACTGATATCACATGTTAAGTATTATAAAAACTGCCCTTTGCAATTGGGCATTGCTCAGTGATGCAGGCTGAGCTCTCTGTGACAGTTACTTTCAGTCATTGTGGGCAGTTGTGATTTTCATATCCAGTCTGTGACTTGGACTTTACCAAGTACTTCTGTTCTTGCCCCTGCCTGCCCTATCCTCTCCTTTACCGCTAAGAGTTAGCTACATTACTGGTGATGACCACAAGGTGGCAGTGCTGCCCCTCTGGTGTTTTCTTTCTTTTTTTTTTTTTTTGAGAACCCGGAAACTAGAGTGCAGTGGCTGATCTCGGCTCACTGCAACACCCGCCTCCCGGGTTCAAGCGATTCTCCTGCCTCAGCCTCCTGAGTAGCTGAGACTACAGGCGCGTGCCACCACGCGCGGCTAATTTTTCGTATTTTTAGTAGAGACGGGATTTCACCGTGTTAGCCAGGATGGTCTTCATCTCCTGACCTTGTGATCCTCCTTGGCCTCTCAAAGTGCTGGGATTACAGGCGTGAGCCACCACACCCGGCCACCTCTGGTGTTTTCTAAAACCTCTCCCTGAATGCTGGCAAGCCTAAGATGCTTTTAGGATTAAGAAAAGGTCACGAATGAGGTGAAACAGGAACTTTATTATCCTTTTTCTCTTGTGAGGTGATACAGTTGAGATGAGTGTGAAATAGTTGCATTTTAGAACTGGAAGACACTGGAGAGAACTGCTTCACAACCTTAATGTGTTCATGGATCACCCGAAGATCTTGATTATATACAGAGTCTGATTCTTCTAGTGGGGCCTGAGACTCTCAATTTCTAAGGAGCTTTTGGATGATGTCATTGCTGCTGTTTGATGGACCATACTTTGAGTAGCAAGGCTTGAGGGTCATTTGGAGATGAATTCTCACTCCACGTGATTTAAGGCTGAAGACAGACCACCGTGCAGAGAGAGAATATAACCTGCCCTCCATAGTCATGCCTTTACTGCATGACTTTCTGCACTTCAACGCCGGGCTTCAGCTTCTCCGTCCAGTCCTCGCTCCACGCATCACGCGGCCCCTTCACTGTTGTTGGTGGCATCACTTTAGGAACCCAGAGCCCGGTTTTCACCACCCACTGATCTTGGCCCAAGGTTTCACTTTGACTGGTTCTGCCCTTACTCAAAACCTTCAGGGGCTCTTCTATAATCACAAGATCAAGTTCGAACGTCTGTCTACTGTTCATGCCTCTATGACATGTGATTCCCCCTTTGCCAAGCTTACCTAACTTCCCTGTTTGTAAACTGACTCTGCTCTGGCTCTCCCTGCTCTTTCCTGTTCCTTACACTTACTTCATTCAGGTCTCTCAATGGTAGTGGTGGCGGCATGGGCGCTGGTGTCAGACTCACCAACTTTCTAATCCCACATCCGCCACCAACCTTGGGAAGTTACTTCCCCTTTCTGAGGATGGGCATCCTCCTCTGAAATAATTTCATGTGCTGGTTGAGAGAGTAAATAAAATAACATCTGCAAGCCCACTCTCATTCCTGGGACCCTCTTCAAAACTGGCATCTACAGTGGTGCCTGACACCTGGTTCCCTGGCTTAGGTTTCTCCATGTCTCTGCTTTCCTGAGGCTGAACCATTCAGGGCCTAACCTGAATCCTGTCTCTTTTGTGACTATTTCTGACCCAGTTGATCCCTTGCTTCTATAAATTGTTTCACCCATGTGTTGGCATTTAATCATGTGCCAGTCCTCTCAGTGAGACCCTATAGGGAGGCTGGAAGGGTACTGGCTATGTGAGAATTGAAGGTTCATTGAGTGAGTTCTTTTCTTACTACCCCCTGAGTGTTAGAGCTGCCGTCTCTTTTTTCCAGCGATTGCCAGCAGCAATTCCTCCTGCACCAGCAGCACCAGACCCTGGCAGGCCTGTGAATACCTCAGGCCTGTGATTGCTCGTCAGGGTCCTTCCTGCCTCTGGGTTTTGGTGAAATTGGCGTTTTGTTTTGCATGTTATCAGATGGCCCCTCTGAGGAGGTGATTGACGCTATCCCTTTATGGAAACTCTAAGATAATAACTCTAAGGAAGTTGACCATAGTATTTTCTAACTTAAACAGCTTGGTGGCAGGAGATGTGTATACTTTCCTATTTCATAAAATTTACAACAGATTCAGAAGAGATTACTGACAAAGGACAAAATGGGGAGGACAGGTTTGTTTAAGGGAGGTCATGTACTTTCAATCTGGATTCTATGAACTGTTTATTCAACTCTGTGTGGAAATGTGCATCTTTGCATATATGGTTACATATTTGTATCACGTGATTTGTAATTCTGTCCCTGTCAGTGGCAATTAGGAGCTCATGTCAGGCTTAAGATAATAAAATATATGGGTGTGCACTGTTACTGAAGCCAGGGTTTCTGATATCTGGAGAGAAAATAGGCCAGCAGGAGGGCTGGTCACTTTACTTAGTGTCCTGTGCACTCTCTCTCCCTCCTCTGCCCCTCTTTCTCTTTTGACACAGATTCTCACTCTGACATCCAGGCTGGAGTGTAGTGGAGTATGTGTATAGCTCACTTTAACCTCCACCTCTTGGACTCAAGCAGTCCTCCCATGTCAGCCTCCTGATTAGCTGGGACCACAAGCACATCCCATCATGCCAAACTATTTTTGTTTTCTTTTGTTTATTTGTCTGTTTTTCTCGAGATGGGGTTTTACCATACTGCCCAGGCTGGCCTCGAACTCCTGAGCTCAAGTGAGCTAGTCGTTTTTGGCCTCCTCAAATGCTGGGATTACAAGTGTGAGCCACTACACCTGGCCCTGCCTTCTCTTTTTATTAGACAGCAGTCTACTCACTCATCATGTTCCCAATGAGGGGATTTTTAACCTTCCCATTTTCCTACCAGAGGTCTATGCCAAGTCCATAGGTGTTTATTTGTGTCTAGAATTGGATGTTCTTTGTAAAAAGAGAAGCCTAAGGAATGGCTTCCTAGCTGATTTTCAGGATTCTAATCTTCATTTTCTAAACTTTAGGTTTCCATCCCTGGATACTGGTTAGAATCACTTGCAGGGCATTTAAAACCTGCTAATGCCTGTGTCTTTCCCAAGTGTGTCTGATTTGATTGGTGCATGGTGTGGCCCAAGCATTGGTTGTTTAAGACTGCTTCTGGCTGGGCAGTGGCTCATGCCTATAATCCCAGCACTTTGGGAGGTCGAGGTGGGTAGGTCATGAGGTCCGGAGTTTGAGACCAGCCTGGGCAGCATGGTGAAACCCTGTCTCACACCCAAAAATTTTCTGGGTGTGGTGCATGTGCCTGTAATCCCAGCTACTTAGGAGGGTGTGGTGCATGTGCCTGTAATCCCAGCTACTTAGGAGGCTGAGGCAGGAGAATCGTTTGAACCAGGGAGGTAGAGGTTGCAGTGAGCCGAGATTACACCATTGCATTGCAGCCTGGCAACAAGAGTGAAACTCCATCTCAAAAAAAAAAAATGCTTCCAAGGAAAATTGTGGAGGAATTTTAGGCCAGGGCTCAAAGTTAATGTCCCATTAATTAGAGTTATCAACATCTTATGGTATCCTAGTTTAATGGATGGAGAAGGCACAAAACCACATCTTTGGTTTTCTTGCCCAAAGTGCCTAAGCTGAGTATAATCATGAGAAGAAGTTAGAAAAATTGAAACCGAGGCCAATTCTACAAACTAACTCACCAATACTTTTCAAAATTTTAAGGTCATACATGCAAAAGAAATTCTTCGGAACTGTCGCAGATTAAAGGAGACTGAGAGGACAGAACAAGGAGATGCAATGTGTGATCCGACATTGGACCCTGGTCCAGAAAGAGGACATTAGGGGGAAGATAAGGAGGATTTGAATATAGTCTGTAGATTCATTCGTTGTACGATGTCAGCGATAATTTATTGATTTTAATGTTGGCACTGTGGTTATCTAAAACAATATTTGAGGAAGTAGAGTGAAAAGTATATGGGGACCCTGACTAGTTTTGGAACATTTTTGAAAGTCTGAAATAATTTCAAAATGAAAAGTTTGAAAAAAAAAAGGAGAAGAAATCTAGATATTTCTATTAAGTTGCCAGAACTGAAGACCATTTCCCAAGTTACCTTGCCTAATGTTGTCACTGTAATCTTCCTGGAAATGCTGTTTGTCATGTTTGCGACCTTCTCAAAGCTTTTCAGTGACTTCTCTTATCTGTAGGATGAAGTTCCCATTCCTTAGGCTGCCATTCAGAGCCCTCATAGCCTGGCCCCGATCTACTCCCTTGACCCACATTTTACTTTCTCTTTTCCAAACATTTTCTAGTTCTTTTCCTTGTTCATATCATATCCTTGTCTGTCTTCTCAGTCTCCTGAGTTGCTCTTTGTCCAAAGGCCCATTTCAGACCCTCTTCACTGAAGCCTGTATGGTTATTTCTGTTAGAATCAGTCATCTTTCCTTTCTTTGAATTCTTGTAGGTACAATGGTGTGGAGTGAAACATGAGTTTTATTTAATTATTATCATGTTTAAAAAAAAATCAATGTATTCTGCTAATTAAAAGCTTTTCTTTCTTTCTTTTTTTTTTTTTTTTTTAGACTGTATCTTGCTCTGTCACCCAGGCTGGAGTGTAGTAGCGTGATCTTGGCTCATTGCCAGCTTCCGACTCCCTGTTTCAAGTGATTCTCCTGCCTCAGCCTTCTGAGTAACTGGGATTACAGGTACAAGCCACCATGCCCAACTGATTTTTTGTATTTTTAGTAGAGATGGGGTTTCGCCATGTTGGCCAAATGGTCTTGATCTCCTGAGCTCATGATTTGCCCGCCTCAGCCTCCCAAAGTGCTGGGATTACAGGTGTGAGCCACCATGCCTGGCCTAAAAGTTTTTCTTTAAAAAAAAAAAAATCTTTGTAATAGAATGATTTATAATCCTTTGGGTATATACCCAGTAATGGGATTGCTGGGTCAAATGGTATTTCTATTTCTAGATCCTTGAGGAATCACCACACTGTCTTCCACAATGGTTGCGCTCGTTTACTCTCCTACCAACAGTGTAAAAGCATTCCTATTTTGGTTGGGGAGGGATAACATTAGGAGAAATACCTAATGTAGGTGACGGAGGGATGGAGGCAGCAAACCATCATGGCATGTGTATACCTATGTAACAATCCTTGCAAGATCTGCACGTGTACCCCAGAACTTAAAGTATAATAATAAAAAAAATCCAAAAAATCTTAAAATTTGGATTGGAGAAGGATTAGAGATTAAATTGTTGATGTTTGAATTTTATTGTGGTTTAAAAAACTTTTATTTTAGGTTCAGGGTACATGTGCAGCTTTGTTACGTAGGTAAATCCGTGTTACAGGAGTTTGATGTACAAATTATTTCATTACCCAAGTACTAAGCCTAGTATCAGTAGTTATTTTTTCTGCTCCTCTTCTAACTCCCACTCTCTGCCCTCTTGTAGGCCCCAGTGTCTGTTTCCCCCCCTTTTTTTGTCCGTATGTTCTCATCGTTTAGCTCCCAGTTACAAGTGAGAACATGCAGCATTTGGTTTTCTGTTTCTGTGTTAGCTTGCTAAGGATAATGTCCTCTAGCTCCATCCATGTTCCTGGAAAAGAGATGACCACATTATTTTTTATGGCTGCATAGTATTCTGTGGTGTATATGTACCATATTTTAAAAATGCGGTTTTCCATTGATGGGCGTTTCCATTGATTCCACGTCTTCTCTATTGTGAACAGTGCTGCACTGAACATTCATGTGCATGTGTCTTTATGGTAGAATGATTTATATTCCTATGGCTATATACCCAGTAATGAGATTGCTGGGTCAAATGGTGGTTCTGATTTTAGCTCTTTGAGGAATTGCCACACTACTTTCCATAATGATTGAACTAATTGACACTTCCACCAGCAGTGTATAAGCATCCCCTTTTCTCCACAACCTTGCCAGCATGTTATTTTTTTGATGTTAGCCATTCTGACTGGTATGAGATGGTATCTCATTGTAGTTTTGATTTGCATTTCTCTAATGATCAGTGATAGTGAGCTTTATTTCCTATGCTTTGGCCACATGTATGTCTTCTTTTGAAAAATGTCTGTTGGCTGGGTACGATGGCTCACACCTGTAATCCTAGCACTTTGGGAGGCTGAGGCAGGTGGATCACTTGAGGTCAGGAGTTCAAAACCAGCCTAGCCAACATGGTGAAACTCTATCTCTACTTAAAGTGCAAAAAAAAAAAAAAAAAAAAAAAAAGCCAGGTGTGGTGGTAGACACCTGTAATCCCAGCTACTTGGGAGGCTGAGGCAGGAGAATTGCTTGAACCTGGGAGGCAGAGGTTGCAGTGAGCTGAGATCATGCCAGCACACTAGCCTGTGACAGAGTGAGACTCCGTACAAAAAAAGAAAACAAAGAAAAGTGTCTGTTCATGTCCCTTGCCCACTTTTTAATGGACTTGTTTTTTCTTATAAGTTTGTTTAAGTTCCCTATAGATGCTGGATATTACATTTTTGTCAAATGCATAGCTTGAAAATATGTTCCCCTATTCTGTAGGTTGTCTGTTTACTCTGTTGATGGTGTCTTTTGCTGGAAGCATGAGTTTTAGATTCAGAAATATGTGAGTCTGAGTCCTGGTTCCACCTTTTATCAGGTGAGATAAGCAACAAGTTAATTGATATCTTGGAATAGAGGGATAATAGTGCCTACTTAAAGGGTCATCGTGAGCCTTGGATGAGGTGTAGACATAAAGGTCCCCAGCATGTAGCAGATTACTTCCTCTTCATTTTTGTAGCTCACTGGCTCCACTAATCATCACTGGCTGTGAACATGCATCAAAAGGCAAAATTCCAACTAATGTAAATATAGATCTAATTGGCTTTTATTTGTGATTCAGGATTTGGGGCAGCTCCCACTCTACCAATGCAGTGATAGCTCCCTGTGGGCAATACAATAACAGAACAGTGGGTTTTGTCAAATTGGAACCAGTAAACAGAGCCATATAAATAAATTGATTGGATAACATCAGGGTACTTCAGGTTACTTTTTTGGGGGTAAATGTTAAAGGAGAGGGGACTTCCTTATTATGTTGACTCAGGGAGACTGGACTCTTCCATTTTCAGAAAAAAACTGGTCTGTTTTGAGATCTGCTTCCTTAAAATTCTAGCTGGAGTATGTAGCATTTAGCATGAGTGGCTCTAATTTGGAGTCTTTAGGCTCTCACTTATGTGAGAATGTGACCAAAAACTAAAGAATTAGCATGACTTTCAGTTATCATCATTTTTGGCTTCCATCACTTATAGGTTATAATATCCTTCTGATCACACATTTATTTGAGTTTATGTAATTCCAGCCAAAGAGAGACCATTTGATATTAGATGGATGGCAGCATGCAAACATTTAAAACTTTTAGAGATTACAGCACACCAGGGAGACTACTAGGATGATTATCAGGAAAATAATATGAAGAGTTTGGAGTATGCACCTTTGGCAAGATGCAAACCAACTAAAATAGAATAGATCAAAGAATGAACTAGTTGAGTGTAGCCATTTTAACCAAGTAGCATATTTGTTAATTTTTGCAACTGAGACTCTTTAATACCCAATATATTTATCCATGTGCAATGAGAAGTGTCATAAACTTCACAGACTCTTCTCTGTTCAGCCAGTAGGGAGCAATTTTATTATCTAGCATCGCATGCCAGGGTTAAACTAAAACATGGAGTGAGAACAAGTGAGTCTAGAAGTCTAACTCAAAGGGACCATGATACATTTGAACAAACAGTTGTGTTAAAGATGCTGCTAATGTTAGCCACTGGATGGACTAAAGGATCTCTTATGTAAAAATTCGGGTTGACACAATAGATTAGACACTTGGTTAATCTGACGTGCTATGTATATTCTCAAATATAACACCCCAGTCAAAGCCTTGGTAATATAACCAATGTTTAAAAATATATCCCATTATAAAGACAGCCAATTCTTACTGAACTTGTGCAAATAACTGAATTACCATAAACGTATGAATACTCATGAATAGTTGTCCAGTTCTGTGGCAGTCAGGTAGGGAGCAAAAGTAAATGTTACAATTTTTGTTCACAAAAGTGTACTTTACCAAATTGCCATAAACTATAAATAAAAAACTATTTATTTATAGTAAAAAATAAAGGAATTTGGCTGGTCACGGTGGCTCATGCCTGTAATCCCAGCATTTTGGGAGGCTGAGGTGAGTGGATCACCTGAGGTCAGGAGTTTGAGACCAGCCTGGCCAACATGGTGAAACCTCGTCTCTACTAAAATGACGAAAATTGGCCGGGCATTGTGGTAGGCGCCTGTAATCACAGCTACTTGAGAGGCTGAGGCAGGATAATTGCTAGGACCCAAGAGGTGGAGGTTGCAGTGAGCCGAGGTTGTGCCACTGCACTCCAGCCTGGGTGACAAAGCAAGACTCCATCTCAAAAAAAAAGAAAAAGAAATTAATAAATCTGAAAAAGAAAACACTTAAAGAATTAGCAAATTTTCAAATACAAAATTTTAAAAACATCCTCATTATTATTTAGTTCAGTGAAATTGTTTTTTTTTCTTCTGTTTTGATTGGCAATTTCACGAAGGCATCAGCCCGTTTGCAAATTCTTAGACAGTCCAGTGGTATGATCTTAACAAAAACTTGTATTCAAGAGTACTTGTCAGAGTCTTTTCCATAAACCTCCTTGAAGAAGATGAAATTTTGGATAGTAGCTGATTGCAAATGCTTTGCAAATTTGAGGAAGAATAAAAACAATTGTCTGTGAATGACAAAGATTGAAAATGACTATGGTTAAAACTCTGATGAGAGCTTATTATGATAAAGGCACAGCTGACATAGAAATTAAGTTACTTCTGTGGCATATGACATTATGACTGATAACATACTCTTTTTCTAGGAATCTCATATAATTTTTGGAACACGCATATCAGTAACATACCCATAAGTATAACTTAGAAAAGGTTTAGCATCACTTATCAATTAACAATGCTTTCCATGGAATTTAACATATCAAATAAGTGGCTTTACCACTTAGCTTCTGTTTCTCAGCTGGATTACTGAGTTCTTGATGGAGCCCATTAATGAATGGGGCCAACAAAGTATAGGCTTGTATATGTTGAAAAAGGTTTCTAGGAAATTTGAATACTCCCAGCTAAAGAAACATTGTTTTGACCTCACATTCTACCTATTAGAACAGGAGTTCTCCATCCTAGTTACATTTGAGTAGCATCTGGGAAGGCTTAAAAATTACCAGTGCCTGGGTCCCACTCCAGACATTAGGTCAGAATTTATGGATGAGGCTTAAGCATCATTTAAAAAAATGTTTATCAGTGATTTCCAATGTGCGGCTATATTTCCCATCAGATTTGTTTGATTTCTTGTGGCAGTCACTTTTTTCTATTTTGGTATTATGATTATTTTTCAAATATTGTCTCCTGTCTTAGGCCATATGTTCTCTGGGATAGGGACCTTGCCTTCTTTATTTCTGTATCTTTCATGAACACATGAATTGGTCATTGGGAAAAGGTTCTTAACTACACATAGGTTATGTCCTATGTCTCAGGTTCACACATGAATGCTAGAGTCATTGTTCTCCACAAGGTCAGTGGTTGCCTGTGATGAAGGGTGTGGGTAACTCCACAGTTCAGAGAATGGATGGGAGAGCACCCTGTTTTTAGGCATAGCATTGAAGCTAAGAATTCGACGTGCATATGGGCAGAGAGGCAGGGATGTGTAGAGAGTCAGATCTTATTAGGATGGAGGAATCATACTAGGGAGTAGAGGTAAAGGAATTAAGAAGGATTAGTAAAAAGAAGAAATGTGGACTTATCAAATAGGCCAGGATAGATCCCTGAAGATTCTTGAGTAGGTGAGTGAACTAGATTTTAGGAAGGTGATGAGGCAGCCATATGCAAGGAAAATTTCAAAGACTGGAGACAAGAAGTCAAGCAGGACTTCGAGCAGTTGTTGTGGTTTGTGGGACTGGAGAGAATGACACAAGTGATAGATCTTAAGAAAGGATCAAAAGACTTTCACAGTGTATTGAATCTGGGAAACAAATGAGTAGAGACTGTGAATAATCACATCTAAGAGACAGTGGGGCACATGGGGCGTGTAGACCAGGGAAGAAGAGACCTGCAGGGGTTATTGATGAGAAGAAGGAGTTTGTTGGGAGGAGGATGAGATTCAGTCCTGGGATACAGTTCTCTCTCCCAAGCATGGCAGTCAGCCTTGCAGGAAACAGGACAAGAGGAAAGGCCATCATACCTGCCAGTCTTTCTGAAATGCAGAAACCACACCAGGGCTGCTATATCAGAGCCACCCTGGCCAGCACTCCAATCATGATGCTGAAAGTGGCCCCAGCTGAGAGGACAGGAGAACTATCTGGTACTGAAGCCTCTGTCATGGAAAGAAAAGAGAAGGAATGAAGGTGATGTTATTTTACAGTGTGGTGCCCCAGGAACCAGCTCTTAGCATGAAGTAGTCTCTACTTGTTTTTTCAAGGAATATATTATTTTTGTGGGAAAGTTGCTGGGAAGTGATTAGCCAACTATATTCTTGCAGTTTTTTTTTTTCCCCCGTCACCATGTTTCTAGGTTGATGATCAGCCTTCTGTCAATTTCATTCTGACCTTTCTTTACTCAGATATTTTTGAAGTCTTTGGGATGTGAGAAAGGCTGTGATATTTTCTGTATCATTAGAACTTTCCACTTTTCATGGTTGCATCTTTTTCTCAGTGTCTGAGTTGTGGCAGATCTCTATGGCAGGGAGTGGATGGACAGAAGGTCCGTGTCAATGCATTCCAAATTGACCACCACCTTTGCACAGAGACCTCTCTTCTCAGGGGCTCCCAGCAGGGGTATAAAAGCAAGCCCAGTATTATGAGACTCTGTTTAACTCTAATGGGTTACTAGTTGGAAGACACCCCATCAGCCTTGCTGAAACTCATTTAGAACTGTACCACTATTTGGCTGGGCACGGTGGCTCACGCCTGTAATCCCAGCACTTTGGGAGGCTGAGGTGGGCGGATCACGAGTTGAGGAGATTGAGACCACCCTGGCTAACACAGTGGAACCCTGTCTGTACTAAAAATACAAAAAATTAGCTGGGCATGGTCGCAGGCACCTGTAATCCCAGCTACTTAGGAGGCTGAGGCAGGAGAATCACTTGAACCTGGGAGGCAGAGGTTCCATTAAGCCAAGATCACACCATTGTACTCCACCCTGGGCAACAGAGTGAGACTGTCTCAAAAAAAAAAAAAAAAAAAAAAAAAAACTGCACTGCTATCTAAAACTTCTTTTCTCTTTCTCCTTCACAGGGATCAGATCTGCATTGTGGTCTGAGGGATCTCCCAGGCTTCTCCCACACCTGCCCGACTTTCCCTTACAGGTGTTTTTCCTGATAAATTATCTTGCATGTCTAATCCCATCTTGGCTGCATCTCAGTGGGTAAAAACTAATATACTAGGTTTGATTCTTTGCATTTAGGTTTTTATTCTCTCTCTTTCACATGTAGCCAATTATGTCCTAGTGTTTTCTGTGTTGCCTTTTTTTAATGTGTATTTACATAAAATACCTTTTACATACATATATACACACACACACACACACACACACACCCACACACCCTTTTGCATCTGTTTCTTTATTTCTGTTGGAACCATTTACTTTTGGCCCTCACCAGTCAACTCAGGCTGATGATTAACGCTATGTTACCTACTGTTGAGGGGCATCTTCTACGTGCCAGGCCCTGTGCTGAATACTTTACCTGTATCTCATTTGATTTATATAAGAACCCTGTCAGGTAGACATTATTTTCATTTTACAGATGAGAAGACAAAGGCTTAGAGTGGTGAAAAAACTGTAGTAATATAGCAGCTAACATTTGTGAAACATTTCCTCTGTATGTGATATTTTGCTGAAGGTTTCATTGATGATTACATTAAACCTTTAAAACAATGCTATGAAGCAAACATTGTTACTGCAATTTTCAGTTGAGGAATCAGAGGCTCAGAGAAGTTAAGAATCTTGTGCAATAAATTTATAACTGCAAACTCTTACATTAAAAAAGAAGAAAGATCTTAAATCAACAACCTAATTTACAACTTCACAATATAGGAGAAAAATAAACTAAACCCAAACACAGTGAATGAAGGAAGTAATAAGGATTAGGGTGGATATAAATAAAATGGAGAATGGAAAAACAATAGAGAAATCAATGAAACCAAAAGTTGGTTCTTCAAAATAAGATGAACAAAATTGACAATCGTTAACTAGATTGACTAAGAAAAAAAGAGGGAAGATTGAAATTACTAACATCAGAAATGAAAATGGAGTCAGGCATGGTGGCTACACCTTTAATACCAGCACTTTGGGAAGCTAAATCCAGAGGACTGCTTGAGGCCTAGAGTTTGAAACCAGCCAACATAGGGAGATTCTGTCTCTACAAAATTAAAAAAGGAAATCAGCTGGGCATGGTGGTGTGCACCTGTACTTTCAGCTACCTGGGAAGCTGAGATGGGAGGATCGCTTGAGCCTAGGAGTTTGAGGCTGCAGTGAGTTGTGATTGTACCATTGCATTCCACTCTGGGCTGGCCTAAAGAGTGGGACCCTGTTTCTCTCTCAAAAAAAAGAAAAGAAAATGGAGATATATCAATTCTAGAGAAATAATGTTTACAAAAGTACTGTGAATAATTGTATGCCAATAAATTGGATAACCTAGATGAAAATGGACAAATCCCTAGAAAGACACAAAAAAATCTGAATAGACGTATAATTAGTAGAAAGATTGAATAAAAATTGTGTTTGACAAAATTCAACATTCTTTCTTAATAAAAACATTATAAGTATGAATGGAAGGAAACCATCTCAATATAATAAAGGCAATATTTGAGAAGCCTAAGGCTGACAATCATACTCAATAAAGACTGAAAGCTTTCCCCCTATGATCAGGAACAAGAAAAGGATGCCTGCTTTTGCCGCATCTATTTAAATTGTATTAGAAATCCTAGCCAGAGAAATTAGGCAAGAAAAAAAAGACTTTCAAATTGGAAAGAAGTACAATTATCTGTCTGGTCACAGATAACTTGAACTTGTATGTAGAAAACTTTGAAGGTGAAAAAACCTGTTAGAATTTATTAATAAATGCAGTAATGTTGCAGGATACAAAATCAACACGCAAGCATCAGTTGCATTTCTATATACTGATGATGAACAATCTGAAAAGAAATTAAGAAAAAAAATTTTAATTCACATTAACATCAAAAAGAATAAGATATTAACCAAGGTGAAAAGATTATGTTCTGAAAACTAGAAAACATTGCTGAAGGAAATTAAAGATGACCTCAATAAATGGGAAGATGTTTTGTTTTTATGGATTGGAAGACTCAGTATTGTTATGAGAACAATACTACCCAGAGTGAGCTACAGATTCAACACAATTTCTATCAGAATGCCGATGACATTTTTTGCAGAAATAGAAAAATCTATCCTAAAGTTCATATGGAATTTCAGGACTCAAAATAGCCAAACAAGTGTGAAAAAAAAATCTTGAAAAAATGCCGAATCCTGATTTCAGTATTTACTACAAAGCCACAATAATCAATGCAATTTGGTACTTGCATAAAGGAATACATAGAAACCAGTGGAATAGAAAAGAAAGCCCAGAAAGGAATGCTTGCATATACGGCCAAATGCTTTTTGATAAGGATGCCAAGACCATTCAATGGGGAAAGTGCAGTCTTTTCAACAGATGACTTTGGGAAAGCTGGATATCCATGCAGAAGGGTGAGTTGAACCTTTGCCTGACACCATATACAAAAAATTAACCCACAGTAGATTGAAGACCAAATGTAAGAGTAAAAAACTATAAACCTCTTAGAAGAAAACACAAGGAAAAAACTCTGTGACATTGGATTTCACAGTGATTTCTTGGTTATAACAACAAAAGCGTAGGCAACAAAAGAAAGAATGGATAAGTTGGACTTCCTAAAAATTAGTAACTTTTATATATCAAAGAACATTATTGAGGAAGTGAAAGGGCAACCCATGAAGTGGGAAAAACATTTGCAAATCAGGTATGATAAAGGATTAATTTTCAGAATATGTGAAGAACTACTACAAATCAAGAACAGCAAAAATCCAAAAACCCAATTAAAAAAGGACAAAAGACCGAAATAGGAAGATACACAAATGGCCAATAAGCACATGCAAAGATGCTCAACATCACGAATACTTAAGAGATATGCAAAACAAAACCCCAATGATAGAATACCTCAAAGACATCAGGGTGGCTTTGATTAAAACACACACACACACACACACACACACACACACACACTAAGTGTTTTTAAGGAGGTGGAAAAATTGGAGCTCTAGTGCATTGCTGATGGGATTGTGAAATGTTATAGCCACCGTGGAAAATGGTTTGGCAGTTTCTCAAAAAATTAAAGAATTAATATTTGAGCCAGCAATTCCACTTCTGGACATATATGCAAGAGAATTGGAAGGAATTTGAACAGATATTTGTGCACAAATGTTCACAGCAGCATTAGCCACACAATAGCCAAAAGGTGGAAACAACTGGAGTCCACTGAAAGATAAGTGGATAGGAAAATGAGGTATATCCATACAATGGAATGTTACTCAACCTTAACAAGGAATAAAATTCTGATACATGGTGCAATATGGATGAACTTTGAAGACATTATGCTAAGTGAAATAAGCCAGACACAAAAGCACAGCTATTATATAATTCCATTTATATAAGGTTGTTAGAATAGTCAATTACATGGAGACAGAAAGTAAGTAGAATGGAGGTTACGGGGGGTTAGCGGAAGAAGCACTAAGAGTTACTGTTTATTGGGTGCAGAGGTTTAATATGGTGAGATGAAAAAGTTATGGAAATAGATAGTGGTGACGGTTACACAACAGTAAATTTAACGGATAGAAATAGTTAATGGTAAGTCTTATGTAAAAAAGAAAAAAAAATATATATAGTGGCTGGTAGTCTAACCCTTTCTATAAATGCGCACTGGCACTGCCCCTTCCCTCCCATGCAGAGCCCCTGTGGGTGAATATCCCTATGTCTCCAAGTGTGCATCACTCACTGTCCTCTGTGCTGTGCCCACAGCCTCATACAACTGGCAACTTCAGAGCCAGGACACAGCTCAGGAGTCTTCCCGGAGGCTCCCTGTCTTCCCATTTCCCTGCAGCCTGACCAGGGGGAGGCTTGGCTTCAACTGGCATCTTGATTTAGCCAGATTTGGGGCAGGCTACCTGGATACCTTCTCCATACAGCCAGGTCCCACCCCAAGTTGAGTCAGGGCAGGGCCTGTCACTGGGGGTGCTGGGAGCGGAGAAGGGAGCAGAGTCTGAGCTGCTTCTCCCCCATCCAAGGGACTTCCTCCTCTCATTTGGGGAACGTTGTGGGCTTGTTTCAAAGCCTTGGATGTTTCTTGCAGCTAATGGAATAGGTAAAAGAAAACAAAGGGGTAATAGAAACAGGGGTGCCACATGTTGGTGACAAAGAAAAGCAACTTGACCTTGAGGACCCTCCTTCTTCCCCCTTTGTGAAGCCTCTTCCACTACATAGGGGACTGGGGCTGACTAAGTCCCCTTTCCACATTTCTCAGGTCAGCCCCAAGGTCAGCCATGAGAAATCAGAAAAATAGGCAGAAGAGAGTCTGTAGAGATGAATTGGGAGGGTTTAGGAGAAAAATTTGGGATTTGTTTGTGCTGTTGGACAGAGGCTGGGAATAAAACTTTTTTTCTGGCTCTTCTCTGAAAGCCAGATAGACTCTACCAGTAAACACTGCCAGTGCTTCAGGGATCCACATACCAGACACTGTGATCATCTTGACTGTGGTCCTGTTGCGGCCAGTGGCTGGGTTCATGGCGTGGCAGGTGTAGGATCCACTGTTCTTCACAGTAATATTGGGGATAAAGAGCTTTTGTTTGTTTTGCTGGAATGTGCCATTTACAGACCAAGAATACTGTGAGGCTGGATTAGAGGCTGCATGGCAGGAGAGGCTGAGATTTCCTCCTGGGTAGTAATAGGTGTTTGAAGGGGAAATGATGGGGGCATCTGGGCCATCTGGAGCAAAGAGAATAAAGTCACAGATGATGTCATCAGAGGGAAGGGGAAGCTCCTGGTCTGTGAAAGGGCCATAGTGTCCCTCTGAGACAAGTCACAACCCTGAAGTCTCAACCAACCCTCCGCTGTGTCTACTGAGATGGAGTCTGAGACAATTATCTCTTTCTGCCATCAGAAGATGTGGACCCCAAGTCTCCTGTGACAGGAGCACCCTCGCCCCTTTTATTCTTGGTCAAGGCTGGGGCTACACATGTTTGCCTGGGGCAGGAAGTCATGACCACCTGGGTGTCTAGAGGTCAGGGTCTGCATCTTTGGACCTGATAGGGACTGAGAGGCCTGGCATCTGGCTGTATGGATTTGGGATGGAAGCCAGGGCCACAGAGGAACAGAAGATACTCACAGAGGACATTCAGGGTGACTGGGTCACTGAAGTTCGCACTCACTGGGTTCTGTATTTCACACTCATAGGGTCCTGTGTCATTCCTTGTGACTCTGAGTAGAGTGAGGGTCCTGTTGTCACTGGACAGCTGCAGCCTGGGACTGACCAGGAGGCTCTGACCATTTACCCACCACAGGTAGGTTGTGTCCTGAGTCTCAGGTTCACAGGTTAAGGCCACAGCATCCTTGTTCTCCACAGGGCTGGAGTTGTTGCTGGTGATGTAGGGCTTGGACAGCTCCACTATGCAGATAACAGAGAGAAGATTGCCCTGTGTGGCACCTGTGATTCCTTCAACAGGCATCTTTCAGTCAGAGTTGGCATCTCCCACCTCTCAGCCCACCCGAGTCCTTAAAAGCCCACAGCAGGTGTGTGTGTCACAAGACAGATACATGACAATCAGGGCTTAGAGACCATTAGGCTGCCTTCTCTGTGTGGAAGAAGCACAGACTTTCTCAAGTGTGAATTGAACAGCAGCTCTGGGTTGTGGACGGACCCAGGACTGGGAGTTACAGTCCTGGTGCCTCTTCTGGTCCCTCTCTGACTGGCTGCCTGCCTGGCCCACCTTGGGGTCCTCACCTAGAACCTATAGGTGCCGAGTCCCTTCCAGCTTCACAGTCCTACTTTGCCCCTCGAGGTGTGTTTTTGAGGGTTTTCTTTCCAAGAACATTCTAGAGCTGGAAGATGATGGGATTCGCCATTATCCCTAATTCCCAAGGATACTGGGCAGTCTGACCTGGGACTGGGTGTCTAAACAGAAATAACAGGAGAGGGAGGCCAGGGGCAAGCCTGGAGTTCGGCTCAGTCATTAGGCAGTGGAGCCACAAGGTGTTTCATGGTGACTTGCTAGAGCCAGTGACCTCTAAAGATAGAGCAGTCCAAGGAATGATCTAGAAAGAGTGAAGGGGACAGGCATAAGAGCAGGTGGCTTTGGCGCAGAACCATGTTTCCTTTCCTTGGTTTTTAATGTCTCTTCTTTTCCTGCAGAGGGCAGGTGAGGAACTCTGGATCCTTCCATAAATACAAGTGGACATTTGCAAATGCAAACTGACTGACGGCAAGGGGGAGCATGAACTGCTGGAAGTCTGGTCCTCATGGACCATGTGTGTTTGAGAGTTATGAGACAGAAATTTGGGAAGAAGTTTTGCAAATATCTTCTCCCATTGGACATTATACAAAGTGAAATAAGTCACTCATAGGACAAATACTGTATGATTTCACTTATATGAGGTTCCTAGGGTAGTCAAACTCATGGAATCAGGTAGTAGAATGGTAGTTGCTAAGGGATGGGTGTGGGAGAATGGGTTGTTCAATGGATGTGAAGTCTGATTTACACAGGATAGGGAGGTTCTAGAGATCTGCTGTACAGCTTCATGCCTACAGTTCTTACAGACTAGTTCTTACGCATAAGGCTTAGGACCAAAAGTGTTTTGAAATTCTAACTTTAAAAAATTTTTGAATATTTGCAGTATACTTACCAGTTTAGCATCTCACATCTGAAAATTCAAAATTCAAAATGCTCCAGTGAGCATTTCTTTTGAGCATCACATTAGTGGCAAAAAAAAAGTGGAATTTTGGAACATTTCAGATTTTGGATTTTTTTTTTTTTTTTTTTTTGAGATGGAGTCTCACTCTGTCACCCAGGCTGGAGTACAGTGGCAAGATCTTGGCTCACTGCAACCTCTGCCTCCCTGGTTCAAACAATTTTCCTGCCTCAGTGTCCTGAGTAGGTGAGACTACAGGCGCACACCACCATGCCTCGCTAATTTTTTTGTATTTTTAATAGAGTTGGAGTTTCACTGTGTTGCCGAGGCTGGTTTCAAACTCCTGAGCTCAGGCAATCCATCTGCCTCAGCCTCCCAAAATGCTAGGTGTGAGCCACTACGTCCCGCCCAGATTTTGGATTTTTGATGGTCAATGTGTAACTAATTCGCTTTTTAAAATGTGTCAGGAGTTTAGCTATTATGTTATGTTCTGACTATAGTAAAAAACAAAATTGGAGGAAACATTGATTTTTTTCCATAAGTAGAAATTGCTATTAATTGTCCACAGATCTAAAATTAATTGGTGGAAGGTGCATTTCTCTTGATAATAAAATAAAGTTTAGATGTCCTGTAAATTCCAGCGGGATCCCATTATGCTCAAAGGAAGATGCTGAAGTTCGTTTGAAATTAGCAACTCCCAGGTAGAGGGAGGCACATGAGTCCTGTTAGGAGGACAGGACGGTCCGAGAGGAAGTCTTAGGTGTGTCAGTTACATAAAGGGAGGAATGATTTCAAATTAGGAGAAGGGATGTGTGTTACATTGGTAAATTTAGAAAGCTTCCTGCCCCTAATTCCTATGGAGTTAGGCAAAACTGGGAGGAGCCCAAAACAGGCATATGCAATGCTTTCTTCATTTTTCTCTTGACCTCAGGAGACACAAGTAGAGTTTAATTAGGTTTTTGTGAATTGGACAGTCTAAGTGTCATGCCGGTGGCTTCAGCGTCTCCCCATTTGAAGGACCCCACCTTATCACAATGGCACATCATGAGACTTATCACATCATGAGAACACAGATGTGTGTGCAACAGGCAGTAAACCCATCAGGCTGCACCCGCCTGGCCATCCAGGATCTAGTTGCTAAATAGGTTTGGATCATTCATTCTTTCATTCATTCCCTCTCCCCTTCATGAGAGAATTAGTGAGTGTGTGTCAGCTGTTGGGCCTGTCCTGATACAGGGTGTGAGTGGGGAGAGAAAGCAAAGTCCTCTCTTTTGTCCTCCCGTGGGAGTGACACCAACACACCAGAAAACAGGATCTCAGGTTCAGTGAGGGGATTAAGATCACAGAGGGAGCCAGGACATTCCTTGCGCTGGCTCTGACAGTTGGGGCAAGTGATTTAGCTCTGGAGTACAAACTAATCAGTTGTTTATTTGCTTTTACTCTTCTGAGGGTTGGATGCCCAGGAAGAAAGGATTTGAGCCAATGGATGACCGTGGGGTCCATGGAACCCAATAAGCCCCCACTTCTTGTGGAAGAGAGGACGGGGCTGTGGCTGGAGAGGGACCTGATGGGACTCTGATCTGGCCCTCGTGTTTGTGTGACCCTGGTTCAGTGACTGTGTCTTTCTGTGCCTCTGTTTCTTCTCAGTAATAAGCTTCTGTTGGCCAGGTGCTGTGGCTCACTCCTGTAATCCCAGCACTTTGGGAGGCCTAGGCAGGTGGATCATGATGTCAAGAGATCAAGGCCATCCTGGCCAATATGGTGAAACCCTGTGTCTACTAAAAATACAAAAATTAGCTGGGCATGGTGGCGCACACCTGTAGTCCCAGCTACTCAGGAGGCTGAGGCAGGAGAATCGCTTGAACCCGGGAGGTGGTGATACTGTGCCACTGGCACAGCAGCCTGGCGACAGAGGAAGACTCCATCTCAAAAAAAAAAAAAAAGCTTCTCTTAAAATTACCATTAAATTATTCATAGTCACCTGACCTGAAGTCACAGAGGAGGCACTCACACAAGCAGATGGGCTATTATTTGCCTCCATGAGAGGGTCCCCTTGGCAGGATCCCTGCTGGACAAGTTGCTGTTGGGAACATCTTTCTTCTATTTCTGCCCCCTGGGGACACTGAACATTCTATGGAGTCTCCCCTCCCAGGGCAGTTGGCCGATGGCCTAAGAAGCTTGCCCATCTGTCCTCTTCACTGAGTCTCAGGTGAAGGACAAGACTCTGTCCTTGCCCAGATGAGGCTCTGGGGTCTGAGCCCTGGCTGGTGAGCAGCTCCAGGAACCACAGACCTTGGACTGCTGGTAATTCTTTGTTCCCAGTTGGCCCTGCCCAGAAGGTCGCCACCCAGCTCTGGCACAGGTTCCCCAGGGTCACCTGGAGTCAGGATCCTGGGATAGGGGGTCTGGAGCAGGGGCTTCCAGGGCTGAGCTTCTCTGTGAGGATCCCAGGGGGTCCCTCAGGTCAGGCCCTGACCCAGTTCTTTAGGGGCTTTCTCAGGGTCAGGTCCAAGGGGAGTGCACAGGGTGCTTGGCTGAGATTGATCTCCTATTGAGTCCCCGTCATCAGACTGTCCTTCCTCTGCTGCGAATATCTGCAGGGTCTGGATGCAGGAAAGGAATTATGATCTGTGGAAGTTTGTCTCCCCTGTGTGTGCCCTGCACTAAATGCCCAAACCCTAAAATAGGACATAATGCAGAGGAGGACACAGGCCCAGCCCAGGCCTGACAATCCTGTGTGTGTGAAATGGTACTGACCCCCAACACCCAGAGGACTGGAGGAATCACTCACGGTGTACGCTGAACTGGCCCGTTACTTCTTCATTCACAAGATCTAGCTTTATGACTTGTAGAGTGTAGAATCCTGTGTCATTTCTGGTGACATTCTGCATCAGTAGGGATGCATTGGGGTACACTGTCTCTCGACCGCTGTATGCGGGCCCTGTGGTAGTTATTTGAGATCTCACTACATATCCTATAATTCGCTGTTTGGCATCCACCATTTCCCCTTTGTACCAGTTGTAGCCAAGAGGGTCCTGGGGCAGATTGTGGACAAGCAGAAGAACATCCTTCCCCTCTGCAGCATTCGGCGGCACAGCTTCAGTACTGAGCTGGGCAGTGGTGGGCGGGTTCCAGAAGGTAAAAAGTGAGGCTAGGAGGGGGAGAGAGCATCAGTCAATATTGCAGCCTATCTATTGGGGTGTAAAGATGGAGATCTGAGCTTTGGAGTGTGTGTGTTTGTGTGTGTGTCCTACTGAGTCAAAGTCAGCAGCAGCACAGTCCCCTTTTCTTCAACACCTCTGACCCTGGCATTTCCCTGTGTGGAATCCTCTTCCTCAGGGGTCTGCGTGGCATCTTCCACAATGCCCTCAGAGCCTGCTGACATCAGGGCATCCTTAGGAGACCCCTTCCTTGACACCCCCTCTAGATACCTTGGGTTTTCCCTTTCTAACCTTTCCCTGCTTTGTTCCCTCCCTCCAGGGCTCTTGTCAACACCTGACCTCACATTCTAGAACTCTTTGTGTGTCTGTCTTCCTCCCCAGGAGAGTGTAAGCTCTCTGAGGGCAGGGACTTGTGTGATCTTGGCTGCACCCCAGTGCCTGGGACAGGCTGCAGACTCCTGTGGGTGAGCTCATGAGCCTTCCCAGGGCCCTCTGCTTCCTGAGGTTTATTTACCAATGTCTGATGTTGGCTGAGGACAATGTTTCATGCCCTGGTTATGTTTTTATGTGAAGTGTCATCTCATATAGTTATTATTATCATTTTTCAAAATGTTGTGGCCAGTGATGATTAACCAGGAATATGGAACACTTGAGATGTTCCTGCCTCTTGCCAATTCCAGTTCAATGTCATTTTCCTGCTTTGACCCCCATCTGCCTCTGGTGTCCTCTCTTCTATTAAGGCTCCAGTGGAAGCCCTCAGCCCCTCAGAGCCCCGTCCTCCCCAGGAGACCCCAGCCAGTCACTGCGCTTCCTCCTCCTGTCCTCTCCCAGGAAGTTCACTCCTCACCTGTGAGCAGGAGGCCCTGCCAGGGGACGTGCCATCTGCAGGGAGGGGCTGAGGGAAGCACCATGGTCTCTGCTGCCTGCGTGTCCTCCTATGTGGAGATGAGCCTGGGATCCAGAAACTTTCAGATCACGACTGTCAGCTGTGCTGTCCTTCCTCCTTCTGCACTGAGCCTCTTCCCAGGGCAGGAGCACTTCTCAGGCTCATGGGTGGGGTCTGTGCTCAGGACACACCTCTCTGTCCCCTCCCCTCTCAGTCCTGCCTCCTTGTCCCTCCTTTTTATTTTCTGTCGGTGTTTCAGGCCCCTGGGAGGTCTCTTCCTTCTTCAGCAGTGATTCTCTCACCCAGGCTCTATACACAGTACACACCCACACACCCACACACACAAAGAGACACACCCAGATACACAGTCACACACACACCCTGTAGGTTGGGTGAGCACAGCCCTGGGCCCTCAGCATCCTGCAGCCCATGTCACCAGGTTGGGGTGCACAGTCACTCCCCCTGCCCTCTCCCATCCCCATCTGGCTCTTCCCTTCAGATCAGGAGGTTGGGGCTCCACCACTGTCAAAGGGACACCACCACTGAGCTTTGAGGAGCTGAATGCTCACTGGGGAGAGGGATCCTCCCTCTCTCTCATTGTGTCAAGTTTGGTTGCAGCTTCCAAGGATGGACATTCAATGCCCTGGGTATCCCAGAGGGGACTGTCCTTTCTGCTGGTGTGCAGGGCAAATAATCTCTTATGTTCCTGAGACAGAGGGCTGTTCTTGTTGTTCAGTGGGGGCTGTGGGCCTTGTGGTCACCAGGGACAGGTCTCAGCCATTTTCTTGCTCCCTGAGTTCTGGCAGCTGAGCGGGGGCTCAGGCCTTCCATGTTCTCTCTGACCATCTTGGGTGTCCTCAGTTTTTGCCTGGCTGACTGTCCTGTGGTCACCCCACCTTCCCCATGGAGGGTGCAGCAGGGAGTAAGGAGTGACCCGGGTCCCCACAGGACACGGCTCCCTCAGAACCAGGAGAGGGAGCCTGGGACAGAGCAGGGGCTCAGAGCTGGAGAGAGGCTCATTCCAGCTTACTATGCAGCCAGGATGGGCTCAGTCTTCCCCATGCTGACATCCCCTGGGGTCTGTCCTAAGAGTTTGGACGTGGTCAAGCCCCTCTGTGTAGAGGAAGGATGGGCAGTGGCCGGAGAGCCCGTCTGGGATGGGAGACGTTGCTCATACCTGAGAGGGCAGGTAGGAGTGGGACATTTTCTGGGAACAAAGGGAACTCATCTCTTGCCCCTCGTGTTGTACACGAGAGAACTCTGTCCTCCCTCCTGACTTCATGAAGGACAGCAGGGGGCAGGTGGCCACATCCCAGATGGTGCCTGGGTATGACTGTCACATACTCTCTGAGCCTTCTGGGGTGCAGAGGGAAGGTCACAGGGTGCCCGGCTCATTCCCCAGAGGCTCTGTGGGCCCTCAGGTGTCTGTGGTTCTGTGTCAGCACTGGGCTTAGCCTGTCATGCCCTAGAGAACAGGACAGAGGGAGTAGGGGTGGGCATTTAGGGAGCAGTCACAGAAAGAGTTGATGAGGATGGAAGGAGGTCACGAGAGGAAAGTGCTCAGTGTGGACTCTCGTGCACCGGTGCTGCCCTGGGAGATGCCTTTTTAGCTGAGCCCAGGGAAGGAGTGGGTGTTTGGGTCAGGAGTTGCCTGCAGAGGGAGTGGCCTCACGTTGGCGGCCGCCTGGCTGCAGGGAGGAGCTGACAGAGTACGTGTGGGGAGCTTGGAGGGTGAGGGTGGACCCTGTTGGGCTGTGAGTTTTGCTAAGGGAGGTCTGCAGCCCCGGGAAGGCTCCAGGCCGGTAGGGACTCTGCCGCCCTCTGGTGGAGTAGAAGGGAAGTGTGGATGGCAGCAGTTCCAGGCCAGGCTGCCTGTTTTATTCCACATGGATTTGCACATTTCACATGTGGTCTCACATGTTATGTTACAGCTTCATCAGGATGCAGCCTAGTGAGTCCCACTCTCTGTGGCTGCAAATTCACTGTACTTTGTCTTTCATAATCAGATGTGTCAGACACAGATTTCTGTCACCTTCTGTGAGTTTGTGTTTATGTGCAGTAGGCTGCACTGTGTATGCCCTGGGGACAGTGATGTCTATGGCAGAGCACTGGGCAGGGATTTGGGAGAAGAAGAGGGAGGTGCAGCGTGGGAAGATCAGTGTCAGGGGAGCAGAGGGGGAGCAGGGGCAAGTCATCTTTATTTCTCACTCCCAGGGGACCAAGATCCGAGACCCTGACTCTGGGGCACAGCACCCCACCCTGATGGTGTTTCTGGGTGTTGCAGGTGCTCATAATTTTATGTTGCTTTGGATTTTTTTAAGTCGTAAGTTTAAGTGCCTTATATCAGAGGCAGGGCCTGGTAACCATGACAGTTTTCAATACTGTACTCGATCCACATGTCTCCAGTTGGTGGCCAGAGATAAAATCTTAGAGGTATCTCTCCTGCTTAATATGCTGGGCTCCCCTCTTTCCAGCTTTTTTTTTTTTTGAGAGAATCTTGCTGTCGCCAGGCTGGAGTGCGATCTCGACTCATTGTAACCTCTGACTCCCTGGTTCAAGTGATTCTCCTGCTTCAGCCTCCTGAGTAGCTGAGATTACAGGCAGGCACCACCACACCCAGCTGATTTTTGTACTTTTAGTAGAGACAGGGTTTCACCATGTTTTCCAGGATGGTCTCAAACTCCTCACCTCGTGATGTGCCTGCCTTGGCCTCCCAAAGTGCTGGGATTATAAGCGTGATCCACTGCACCTGCTGGTTCTTTTACACTGACAATTCTGACATTTTTTTCTCAAATTTAAGGTGACCACCTCTGACTCACAGCGTGATCTCCTGGCCCCAGTGCTTGCTTTAAATGAATCCAGCCAATCTCTTGGCTGGAAACCTGTCAGATAACATTCTGGCCCCAATAAAGCCGTAGACCTACAGGTCCCTTTTCTTTCTTTATCTTTCTTTCTTTCTTTTTCTCTTTCTTTCCTTCCTTCCTTCCTTCCTTCCTTCCTTCCTTCCTTCCTTCCTTCTTCTTCTTCTTCTTCTTCTTCTTCTTCTTCTTCTTCTTCTTCTTCCTTCCTTCCTTCCTTCCTTCCTTCCTTCCTTCCTCCTCCTCCTCCTCCTCCTTCTTTCTTTCTTTCTTTCTTTCTTTCTCTTTCTTTCTTTCTTTCTTTCTTTCTTTCTTTCTTTCTTC